CTGATAAGTTACAAATTTTTTTATGAGCGTTGTCATCACAAATATTTGTACTCTTAAAAAATATTTTTTTTTTCGGTAATTATTTTAGATTAAATTCGTTTATATCGCGTTTTATTAATAACGAAAGTTTTTTTTCATACTCAATAATGTTTTAATGTTTTAATTGTTAATTGTTCAAATTTTCTATACATTTTAAAAATTAACGTGATTTGGAATAGATATATGATCTTTTCTCCTTATTATCGTTTTATTTTCTCATTTTCATTTTATTAATATCGTTATCAAAACAATAATTTTTATATAATGTATTTTATTAACTTTCGGATTTCTACAATTTCATTTTCAAATAACAATATTTGTAAATGCATAATATAGCGCAATCTTAAAATATTAATGATAAAGATTACTTAAACGTAAATGTACTAAGAATCCAAAATTCTAGTGCACAATTTGTCTATTATTAATTATGTTAAACTTAATTTAATTTAACATAAAATATTGGAAGAAATTTTATGTAAATAAAATACATTTATAAAAAATGTGCATACGATAAAACAAAATTTATTATTCTTGTTTTTTCTGAAATAGTTGTAATCAAATTAACATTTAGCAAATTTATTGACAGACAAATGCAATTATATGTGTCTATAACAAATATTGTATTTATACAATATTTTCACTCACACATAAATATCTTTATATGTACGCAGAATTTATTTCGTTTATTTCTTTACACTCTGAAAAATTGTATTTCTCAAGAGATATCCGCATTATTGTATTAAATTTTTATTTTATGCAACTTTCGCGCTTCCTTGTTGATCCTTTTTGTACAACAATGCAATTAAATTCGTGGATCAATGGAAGCGTAATAAATCTCGAGTATCGATTATTAACGTGATTGTAAAAATCAATATATTTCCATAACTATAGTTAGTAACATTTCCTTTAATTACGACAATCTTGCAAACACTTTTTTTCTATGTTGTTATTAAAAAGATGGAACATGGATTGATCGTCTTTAATACAATTGCTGAAAGATAGGCATGGAAAACATTATACAGCATGTTAATATACTCGTGAAATATCTTCGAAATTTTAGTTTCAGAAGTTGAAACAACAGAAACATTAGTGTATAAAAATTTTCATTGAGATTTTTTTAATTATTTAGAGAGAGACACTGATTTCTATTTTGCTTCATTTAACATAAGCTTAAATTGCTTATAATTTAATAAATAAATCTCAAGTGACATTTTTATACGCTAATTTTTATATTTGTTTCAGTTTAGATTCGATCCTTCAGTAGATGAATTTGTGAATATATTTACACTCTGTATATCATTAATTGCAATTAAAAAGGTATAATATTTTTCACTTTTATTTTCTATGCACTTAGGAAAATAGCCTATTTGAAAATAGGTATTTGTATATGAAATATAAAATTGAATAATTTTTCTCTGCTTTTTCGACTTTAATTGATATTTCCTTGGGTCTTTAGATAATTAATAACAATGTATGACCCAATAATATTAATTGGAAGTTAGTTAAACATCTTTAATTGCAGTCTACTATCAGAAATTTTAAGTTTTTACACGAAGTTAGACTTATAAATTTACTTATTATTTTTATTTGTCTTTATAATTGAACAAATTATTTACATAGAAACATGTATATAATATATTACGTTACGAAATTATTTATTCTAATAACAAATATTTGTTAAATAGAAAACAAATGAGGGAAGACTGTTAATTAAAAACGATCAATCGGATGACTCGATAATTAAAAATTGCCCTTATAAGTGATTTACAAATTACAAGATAATGTTTCACAGAAAAATAGTTTGTCATCAGTCTGTCTTGCATATATCGTATCAAAAGATCTATGCAATTATATAGTAAATATAAAAAAATGTATTCGTAATTAGCTCCGTATGAAAGCAACATGAAGTTATAATAAATATCACTGAAAAAATTCGAACTATAAACTAATACTTGAGAATTTCCTTTTTTAAAAGCTGTCTTACCTTTCTCTTATTTTTTTACAAAATCTATCTTATAATAGGAATAATTTTATTTTCATATATATACTTATAAAAATACAAAAAAAAGATAAATTCAGATTTATAATTTTATCTGGAAATGGAAAAAATTATTAATATTTTTTTTGTATTTTTAATTAATTATATAATGTAGCTTTTAAAAATTATGTGAAAGTCCATAAACATGATGTATTGATTAAATTTGACAAGTGATAGACAGCTTTTAAAAACGGATAGTTTGTATAATAATATAATTTTATAATTTCTGGTATATAGTAAAATTCTTGATGCAAGAAAACTTACGATGTAAATCGATCATGTACGTTTAGAATCCTTAAATGTGCACTTTGAAAAAGAGTATGCGACACGAATTTCAGCGTCAACAACAATATTATTCACACATAGATTTTTTTTTTGTGAAAAAACAGATGAATTTTTCCACATTAAATCATTTTCGATAACTTCTCCCTTATAAATAACGCGTGTTTCTCAAAAAATACTGCGATAATAAATTCACGATAGAATCAGCGACATTATAAATGTTCAGCAACAATATCTTTGGTTATTAACTTTCTTTTATATACGAAATATATAGAAACGAACAAGAAAAGATAAACAAGAAAGAAAAAAACAAAAGAAGGAAATATATCAGCATAATTCATTTTTCAACAAAATACGCGTGTTAAAAACTTATTATTAACAAATTAATAAAACAAAATCTATAATAAAATACATCGATATCAACGAAACAAAGTAAACGTTTGTCCTTCTATTTTAATTTTCAATATCCAGCCCCCTATATTTATTAACAATTTCTCTTAATCGTTCATTCGCCTTCGATGACAATCGTTCAACAAACAAAACAATTAGTAAAGATCTGCGCAATATATCTTACAACGTTATTAAACATCTCATCGTAACTTTTTTCGCGAGAATCATTCATGATTATCGGAAAAATTACCCTAAAATACGCTATTGATATGATCTAATTAACTCGATCTCTTCCCACTTTTCACAAAGGGAAGACAAATACACAATTGTTGATACACGTGATGATGTTAATTATTTCAGGGTAATAATACTTGGGTGATAATAATAATTCGAACGAACGTGAAAAATTGCAATAATAATAGCAATAATCAATAATATAATCAAGATGTAATGTGTGTGAGAGAGAAAGAGATTAGTAATATTATAATAATAACTTAAATATTCGCACTCTCACAAAGGCATCGCTTAAGAACGAATGCAGCAATTCCTCTGATGTTCAGTCGTTTCGATTCATTTACTTTTCTACGATTTTCCTATCTGTCTTCTTCTTTTTTTTCTTTTTTGTTACTTTTTTTTGTTTTGTTTTTTTACTTTTTTTATTTTTTTTTCTTTTTTGTTA